AAGAGGCGGGGCCAGGAGCTAAGAATCGACCCCTGCAACCACAAATAGGTGAGTACAAATAGGTGAGTACACGTCATGAAGAAGATTATCAGGAGGAGAGTGGTGGAGCACCTGGAACGGAGCAAGAGTATAAACGCCAACCAGCACGGATTTATGAAAGGCAAATCCTGTGTCACAAACCATCTGGAGTTTTATGATAAAGTAACAGAAATAAGACACGAGAGAGAGGGGTGGGTTGAATTCATCTTCTTGGACTGCAAGAAGGCCTTCGACACAGTTTCTCACGAGAGATTAGTGCAGAAGCTAGAGGATCAGGCGCATATAGCAGGAAGGGCACTGCAATGGATCAGAGAATACCTGACAGGGAGGCAACAACGAGTCATGGTTCGTGATGAGGTATCACAGTGGGCACCTGTGACGAGCGGGGTCCCACAAGGGTCGGTCCTAGGACCAGTGCTATTTTTGGTATATGTGAATGACATGATGGGAGGGTTAGACTCAGAAGTGTCCCTGTTCGCAGATGATGTGAAGTTAATGAGGAGAATCAAATCAGATTAGGATCAGGCAGGACTTCAAAGAGACCTGGACAGGCTGGACACCTGGTCCAGCAACTGGCTTCTCGAATTTAACCCCGCCAATTGCAAAGTCATGAAGATCGGGGAAGGGCACAGAAGACCGCAAATGGAGTATAGGCTAGGTGGCCAAAGACTGCAAACCTCGCTCAAAAAGAAAGATCTTGGGGTGAGTATAACACCGAGCACGTCTCCGGAGGCACACATCAACCAGATAACTGCTGCAGCGCCTGGCAAACCTGAGAACAGCGTTCCGATACCTTAGTATCGGAACTGTATACCGTGTACGTCAGGCCCACACTGGAGTATGCAGCACCTGTTTGGAACCCACACTTGATCAAGCACGTCAAGAAATTAGAGAAAGTGCAAAGGTTTGCGACAAGGTTCCAGAGCTAAGGGGAATGTCCTACGAAGAAAGGTTAAGGGAAATCGGCCTGACGACACTGGAGGACAGGAGGGTTAGGGGAAACATGATAACGACATACAAAATACTGCGTGGAATAGACAAGGTCGACAGACAGGTTGTTCCAGAGAGGGGACACAGAAACAAGAGGTCACAATTGGAAGTTGAAGACCCAGATGAGTCAAAGGGATGTTAGGAAGTATTTCTTCAGTCATAGAGTAGTCAGGAAGTGGAATAGCCTAGCAAGTGAGGTAGTGGAGGCAGGAGCCATACATAGCTTTAAGACGAGGTATGGTAAAGCTCATGGAGCAGGAAGAGAGAGGACCTAGTAGCACTCAGTGAAGAGGCGGGGTCAGGAGCTGAGTCTCGACCCCTGCAACCACAATTAGGTGAGTACACACACAAAAAAAAAGCCGTGTCTATCCACAAGTTCCTTTGACAACTAGCAGTTACTACTACACACAACGATGAGTCATTTTTTCATTCCTCTCACGGGTTGACAGACCACCTGGAGATTCCCTGGCACACTGGCATTTTAATGCATGATAGATCTGATAAGTTGGCAAAGGAATATGTCCTCAATAAAGTGGTCGATTATAACTCTAGTCTATCAACCAGCAATATGTGGGTATGATATAGGAAGATCCGAGCCAGAGTGAGCGTGACATTCTCAATTCATCTATTCTCGTCCTATCAAGCAGTAAGAGCGGGGTGTCTATGGTGCATCTTACAAAATCACCAGACTCTTGGGTGTTGCTACTGCCCGGTTTCAGCTGCGCTACAAATGACTCTGGGAGTTTCCACCACCAACTGGTGCAGACTTGACCAGATGTAAACTTTGTTAACAGAATTATCCTCCCATCCTTGGTTTGCATATGAACAAAATCCAAGAATTTAGAGACAACTCCGCCAAAACTGTTGAAGATTTTTCAAAATATTTCGTCCAAATTGACATTACCAAGAATTTCTAACCAAATTCCCAAACTTTGCTTAATGTAAATAACTATTAGCCTTCGTAATCTGCTTAACCAATAAGTATTTAGCCAGTTCCTCAGTTCAGTGCGTCTGTTGCGTAACATATCGAATATGCTTCTTTGTATTGCTCAAGTGGCTGAGTTTACTAACTGTGTGACCAACTCATTTCCTTCGTAACTCACTTAACTCATTTCCTTCGTAACTCACTTAACATAACTTTACGTCCAAGTTCTTGGATCCATTAAAGACCTGTGTAACAACATTGTTACTGTAATTATTGTTTCCTTTCATTACCTTAGTGAATCCCTTAGTGTAAACAGCTCAAGTATGACTAACTTTTTCAGGTAACAGATTAGCTGAGCCGCTTCTGGATTTATTACGTGTCTCTTATCTATTGGCTACCGCTCGGAAATTGGGTATATAATCATTGTGTATGTCTTCTGAACTAGACAAGGGCCAATTAACTCACTGGTGTTTGATGGTAGTCGACAGATGGAAGTGCCTTGTCAGGAGTCACAATCCTCTTTGAGTACGACCAGGATACCACAAGAAGCGACTAAGTGAGGGAGACTTAGTTTAATATGTTTATTATGCACCCCATACCCATCCTGTGGGCGGTAGTCAAAAGATTACAGAGGTACATAATTGGTCCAGGGACTGGACTCCAAAGTTTTGATAGCTGAGCAAGTTACAGAGGTAATGAACTCACAATTTACAAAGGTAATGAACTCACAGGGAGACTGGGGATAATTTAAAAAATCACAAGTATGTAAACAAGGGGAAAATTTACGTTGTCTTTTTTTAACGCATTGCAGTATAATACTGTAACGATAAAAAAGTTTTGATGAAAATAATAATTTTTAAAAAATTTTTTAATTTTTTAATTTCCCAATTTTCTCCGGGGCTTACAAATTTCCCTTTGGGTTTACCCTGCCCGGTTCAAAATCCCCCTAAGACATAACGGCACTTGTTTCCAATTTAAATTAGCAAACCCGGGGTATCCCCAGTAATTTTTGTTTCATTTGACGCCACGTTTTTAAAGGGGAAAAATTTCCAATATGTGATTTCCATTGTATTGGGGCTGTGCGGTGGAGCCCTAGGGAAAAAAAGTGGAAAACTCAGTTGTAAACAGGTCTCTCTTCCCCGTTACACCACTTACGAAATTATTCAAGGTACCCATGGAGTGAAGGGACTCAAGGAGAATAAGGGAGTCAGGGAAGGGATTCAGAGAAGAGAAGCAGGGAAGGGAGGCAGGAGGAACTTCGATAACGTGAAGCACCGACCAGTTACCCTATCTAGGGAGCAATTGTGGGGTCTCGGTCTCTTTGCTCCTCCACCACTTTCCCCTCCACCACTGGCCCTTCTGCCGCTACAGAATCATATATGCTTTAGTGAAGTGGTAGTTACATGTCCTGGGGAATAAAGGCATTCTTGATTTATACTCGATACAATCTGACCTTGAAAAATGACACACTTGTGTAACATTTGTAAATCTTTATTGAGGAAACTTTTCGCCAGCCAGTGGTTTCTTCAGTCCAACACAGAGAAGAATGGAGAAAGAAGAGGAGTTTGAGGTAATCAGTCTCTAAGTCTGGAGTCGATGTGTTTCCTCGATAAAAATTTATAAATATTGCACAAATGTCTCATTTTTCAACTTGTCGATTTTGTAAACCATTTACATCAAATCTAATCTTGCATTACAAGAGTGTCAAGAGTCCAGAGTATTACACAAGTCCTAGCTTATATTTGGTATAATATAGTCTTTATATTGCATTATTATTATATAGTTTTTACATATACAATATTGACATGTGCTTGTATTATGTTAATGAGCGTCATTAAGGTTGCATGTCAACTACACACCACTAGTGAAGGATACTTTAATACCTTAAATAGGGATTAAACTCTGTGTATATACACATTCATAGATATATCCTTCTCGGCGTTTATAAACTGAGCGATAAGCATCTTATATATATATATATATATATATATATATATATATATATATATATTTATATATATATATATATATAAATATATATATATATATATATATATATATATATATAATATATATATATATATGCACCGAGAAACTGAAAAATAAACACCCCAGAGTCAACCATACCACGGGTGGGGTTAGAACCCACGATCAGTCACAAAACTCCAGACCGATGCGTTAGCCACTGGGCAGAGTATTTACAATGACAGATACACACTTCCCAGTTTAAATATACACTTAAAAATATACACCTCCTTGTGCCTATACACTGAGAGATAAACATCTTTCAGTACATATACACAGAACCAAAACATCTTTTATCGTATATACAGAGAAATAAACACTTTTCTGTGTACATACCGTTGTTGGTGTATATACTATATATCTGCATTGTCTATCATAAAAGTTATGAAGTTTTTTATCAGATTAAAAGTAAATATTTGCTTTTATAATATTTTATATGTCTAGGATATATGGACAACTCACAAGACTATTGTAGACGTGTCGTGGTGATGAGTTCTGATGATGTAACCCAGGATAACTCAACACAATCAATTAGTAGTAGTAATAGTAGCAACACCATTGATTTTTCCTAGTTGCGACCACATAAATACTCCGTATGGAGTACTATCAGCGATTTTAGTAATACTAGCAGCAATAGTAGTAGTAGTAGTAATAGAACAAGCAGTAGTAGTGCAGTCAGAAGCAGTAGTAGTAGTAGTAATAGGAATGCCACCAGTAGTAGTAGTACTGCCAGCAGTAGTAATAGTACCGCCAGCAGTAGTAGTACCAGTAGTAGTAATAGTACCGCCAGCAGTAGTAGTACCAGTAGTAGTAGTACTAGTAATAGTAGTAGCAGTTCCATCAAAAATAGTAATACTGTACTATCAGCAGCAACAATTGTAGTAGTAGTGGCAACATTGGTATATGTACTAGCAGCAAATTTACCACAATCATATATACTTGAATGCTGCTATTTATTCAAAACATATAACTCAAAAATCATTAGGAAACAAGATAAGTAGTAACTTTGAGCTGCACTTACCTACGACAATTTCCTTCGTTTTGTTCTCATAGGCCATGCGACAACTCTTCCAAATTCCGGAATGCGACTGCAAAAAGTACCGCTTGGTGGTGGGCACGTAGATGCCCTTACCCCCGTCTACAATGCCCCAGTAATCGGTGGAAATTGCGATTATCCAGAAGAGAAGCCCAAGGCTCACAAAGACTGTGACAGCCATCAGCACCCGCCGTTCCACCAGCACGGCGTGGGCCGCCTGTCGATTGGCCATCGTGTTTGACACTGATCGTCTGTGTGCCAAGGCACCGGCTTCGAGCCTCCCAATGGTGCCACTGGCACCTTCTGCAACCATCGTACGGCGCCCCATTCTAGCACCGTCATTGATATTCGTACATATTGGAACGTTTTCTCCCGTTGCGCTGGGTCGTTTCCTTGCCAGACTGCAACACAGCCACCTTTTTATTTATATATATATATCTTTATTTGTGGTGAAAAAAAATGGGTTTTTGATAAGTTTATATCACGTACCCGAACCTAACCTACCTGAGTCCAGCACTTCTTCCTTACTGAGTCCAGCACTTCTTCCTTACTGAGTCCAGAACTTCTTCCTTACTGAGTCCAGCGCTTCTACCTTACTGACTCCAGCACTTCTACCTTACTGACTCCAGCACTTCTACCTTACTGACTCCAGCACTTCTACCTTACTGAGTCTAGCACTTCTACCTTACTGACTCCAGCACTTCTACCTTACTGACTCCAGCACTTCTAAACCCTTCTGACACCAGCATTTTACCTTACTGACTCCAGGGACTTCTCCTTTCTGGGCCCAGCAAATTCTACCTTACTGACTCAGCCTTCTACCCCAAAATGCTCCAGGGACTTCTTTCATTACTGACTTTCCCGCACTTTTACCGACTGACTCCCGCACTTCTACCCTTTCTGACTCCAGCACTTCTACCTCAAATGACTCACACTTCCACCCCTTTCTAACCCCGCACTTTACCTTACGACTCCAGCCTTCTACCTAAATGACTCCAAACATTTTTACCTTTCTGACTCCCGCACTTCTAACCCTTTCTGACTCCCGCACTTCTACCTTACTGACTTCCCCGCACTTCTACCTTAATGGGCTCCAGCACTTCTTCCTTTACTGAGTCTAGCACTTTTTACCTTACTGACCCCCAGGCCCCTTTACCTTACTGAGTCCCAGCCTTTACCTTACTGACTTTCCCGCACTTCTACCTTACTGACTCCCGCACTTCTAAATGTACTGATTTCCCGCCACTTCACCTTTTCTGACCCCCAGCACTTCTACCCTTTCTGGGCTCCAGCCCCTTCTAAACCCTTTCGACTCCAGCAATTCTAAACCTTTCTGATTAGCCTTCAAACCTTTCTGACTCCAGCACTTTAAACCCTTTCTGACTCCGCCTTCACCGTAATGCTCCCGCACTTTTTCCCTTTCTGACTCCAGCACTTTACCGTACTGACTCCACACCTTTTACCCTTTCTGGGCCCAGGCCCCTTTACCTTACTGATTCCAGCACTTCTAAACCCTATGGGCTTCCCGCCACTTTACCGTAAATGACTCCAGCACTTCTAAGGTACTGACTCCCCACTTCTTTCCTTACTGACTCCCCGCACTTTTACCCTTTCTGAGTCAGCACTTTTTTACCTTACCCGACTCCCCGCACTTCTCATTTTTGGGCTCCCAAACTTCTACCTTCCCGACTCCCCGCACTTCTACCTTACTGGGCTTCCCGCACTTCACCTTACTGGGCTCCCGCACTTCTAAACCCTTTTCTATCCGCACTTTTACCGTACCCGACCCAGCACTTTTACCGTACTGAAATCCAGCATTTAACCCTTTCTGAGTCAAAACACTTCTAAACCCTTCTGAGTTTCCCGCACTTCTAAACCCTTTATGACTCCCGACACCTAAACCCTACTGACTCCAGCACCTTTTTTTACCCTTTCTGCTCCAACATTTCCCTTACTGAGTCTAGCACTTCTACCTTAAGAGTCTAGCACTTCTCCCCTTTCTGACCCCCCACCCCTTTTTACCCTACTGACCCAGCACTTCTTTCCGTACTGACTCCAGCACTTTTTTTCCGTCTTGGGCTCCGCAATTTTCGTTACTGACTCCAGGGACTTCTACCTTTCTGAGTTTAGCACCTCTACCTTATTTAGTCCCGCACCTCTACCTTACTGAGGGCCCGCACCCCTACCTTACGAGTCCAGAATCTACCTTACTGAGTCCAAACAAACCCCACCTTACTGAGTCCAAACCTCTACCCCTTTCTGAGTCCAGCACTTTTACCTTTTCTGAGTCCCCCCGCACGTTACCTTACTGAGTCCCGAAAACCCCTACCTTACTGAGTCCAGCACCTCTACCTTCTGAGTCCGCACTTTCTACCTTTCTGAACAGGGACTTCTACCCTTTCGGGGTCCACACTTCTACCTTTAAAGGAGGGCCAGAAATTCTACCTTTCGGGGTCTACACTTCTACCCTTTTTTCCTTTAGTCCCGCACCCCACCTTACTGAGTCCCGCACTTCTACCTTTTTTGATCTAGCACTTCTACCTTTCTGACTCCAGCATTCACCTTACTGGCTCCAGCACTTTACCGTTGACTCCCAAACACTTTTACCGTACTGATCCAGCACTTTACCTTAGAGGGCTAGCACTTCTAATTAAATGAGTCCAGCACTTTTAAACCCTTTCTGACTCCAACACTTCTTAAACCTTTCGCCCACCCCTTCTACCCTACTGATCCAGCACTTTTTTACCTTACTGACTCCGCACTTCTGCCTTACTGAGTCTAGCCTTCTACCTTACTGGGTCAGCACTTTTACCTTTCTGACTCCAGCACTTTACCCTACTAATACAGCACTTTACCGTACGACTCCCGCATTCTACCGTATGACTCCGCACTTTCTCCTTACTGACTCCAGCAATTTTTACCTTACTGAGTCAGCATTTTACCTTACGAGTCCCGCAAATTCTACCTTACTGAGTCCAGAACCTCTACCTTACGAGTTTCCCGACCTCTACCTTTTCTGAGTCCAGCACTTCTACCTTAAGGGGCCCGCACTTTTTCCCTTTTTGGGCTCCCCGCACTTTTCCTTTCTGAAATCCCCGCATTCTACCTTCTGATCCAGCACTTTCTACCTTTTTGAATCCAAACCAACTTTACCTTTTTCGACTCCAAACACCTTTTACCTTTCTGAGTCCAGCCCCTTCTACCTTACGAGTCCCGCACTTTTTACCCTTTTTGCTCCCCGCACTTCCCAAAAATTACCGATCCGGCCCCCTTTTACCTTTTAACTCCAGCCTTCTACCTTACTGGGTCCAGGGACTTTACCTTAATGAGTCCAGCACAATTTAAACCTTTCGGGGTCCAGCACTTCAAACCCTTTCTGAGTCCAGCACTTTACCTTACGATCCAGGGACTTTACCTTACTGGTCTAGCAAATTCTACCTTAGAGACTCCCCACTTTTTACCTTTTTGAGTCCAGCACCAGTACCTTCTGAGTCCAGCACTTTTTACCTTACTTTAAATCCGCACTTCTACCTTAATGAGGGCCCGCACTTTTTAAAACCCTTTCAGAGTCCAGCGGGTTCTACCTTAAATGGCTTTGGCACTTCTTTTCCTTAAATGGGGCTCCCGCACTTTTTACCTTACCCGACTCCCCCAGGTTTTACCCTTTCTGACTCCAGCACTTCCCAACCCTTTCTGACTCCAAAAACTTCTATTTACGACTCAAGCACTTCTTTCCTTACTGACTCCCGCGTTTTTTACCTTAAGACCCCAGGAAATTCTACCTTACAGAGCCCGCACTTTTTCTTTTTACTGACTCAAGCACTTCTACCTTACTGACTCCGGGACTTTTATCTTTCTGACCCCAAACACTTTTTAAAATTACTGACTCCAGCACTTCAAAACCCTTTCTTTTGGGTTTTCACTTCTTTCCTTACGAAAAACAAACACTTCTAATTTACTGAGTCCAGCACCCCGTACCTTACTGAGCCCCGCACTTCTACCCTTTTGGTCCAGCACTTTACCCACCCGAGTCCAGCACTTTCCTTTCTGAGTCCCCCGCATTCTACCTTACTGACTCCAAACACTTCTATTTCTGACCAGCACTTCTACCTTACTGATTTCCCGCACCAGTACCTTTCTAGTCCAGCACTTCTACCCTTTCTGATCCCGCACTTTTTACCTTTCTGACTCCCCGCACTTCTACCCTTTCTGACTCCACACTTCTACCTTAAGGGCCCCCTGCATTCTACCTTACTGAGTTAGAACTTCTACATCTGACCCCGCACTTCTACCTTTTCTGACTCCAATTCTACGGGACTGACTCCACACTTCACCCTTTCTGGTCTAGAACTTTTTACCTTTTCTGACTCCCGCCCCTTCTTCCCTTTTGACTCCAGCACTTTACGGGACTGACTCTGCCCCCATTTCCCACTTTGAGTCTAGAACTTCTACCTTACTGACTCCAGCACTTCTACCGTACTGACTCCAGCACTTCTACGGTACTGACTCCAGCACTTCTACCTTACTGACTCCAGCACTTCTACCTTACTGACTCCAAACACTTCTACCCTTTTTGACTCCCGCACTTCTTTCCTTACTGACTCCAGCACTTCTACCCCTACTGAGTCCAGCAAATTCTAAACCCTTTCTGAGTCCAGCACTTTTTACCCTTACTGACTCCCTTTACTTTTTTACCTTTCCCAGGGTTTGCACTTCTACCTTACTGACCCAGCACTTCAAACCCTTTCTGACTCCAAACACTTTTACCTTTCTGACCCCCAGGGACTTCTACCTTAAATGAATCCAGCACTTTACGTACTGACTCCCGCACTTCTACCTTACTGACTCCCGCACTTCTTTCCCTTTCTGAGTCCCACATTTCTACCCTTTCTGACCCCAGCACTTCTACCTTACTGACTTTCCCGCCCTTCCCCCCCCCACCCCTTTCTGCTCCCCCCACTTTAAATTTTCTGACCCAGCCCTTTTACCTTACTGATTCCCCAATTTACCCTTTCTGACTCCCGCACTTCTACCGTACTGACTCCCGCCCCTTTACCTTTCTGATCGCACTTCTACCTTACTGACTCCAGCACTTTTTAAACCCTTTTGAAATCAGCACTTCTACCTTTCTGAAATCCGCACTTCTACCTTACTGATTTTAGCACTTCTCCCTTTCTGATTTACACTTCCCACCTTCTGAGTCTAGCCTTTTTTTACTGAGTCCAAGGGACTTCTAACCCCTTTCTGAGTCCCGCACTTCTACCCTTTCGGAGTTCAGGGACTTTACCCTTTCTTGGGGCCAGCATTCTGGGC